AGAGGGAGAGAGAGAGAGAGGGAGGGAGAGGGAGGGGGAGGGGGAGAGGAAGAGAAGGGGGAGGGAGAGAGAGAGAGGGAAAGGGAGAGGAAGGGGAGAGAGAGATTCTATGAAGTTGGCCCTGGGATAAATTTCATTCAAATCAATTAATTGTTTATCTCCTTTATTTATTTGTTTATTCACTCATTCCATTTCCATTCATTCATTCATTCATTCAATTTCTATTGCCACCCGTGTTGTACTGTAAGACTCAGAGGCTCCCAGTTTTAAAAATATTAAAACAGTTAAAACTTTTTTTTTTAAAAAAAAAAACCACATTAAAAAGCCTCTCACTTAAATATATACAGCATATTTATTTGATTTCTATCAATTTACTTCCATCTGTTCATTCCAGGATTATTTATTTTTCCACCGACTGAGGAGATTCATTCTTTTTATTTCTTTATAATTTCGTCTTCCATCCCAAGAATTGAAAAGGATTTTTTTCTTCTTCAACAAGGCAAAAGGAATAAGCCCAGGGTCCTAAGTCATTCCTGCACACACACACACACACACACACACACACCAGTAACCTCTAGCATCTTCGAGCCTCATCCAGTCATTCTTGTGTCAAAATTTCAATGCATGCAGACAGACTTTACTAGGTCGTGTCAACAATGGCTGGATGTGGCAGTGGAGATCGTGTAAGTTACTGGCGTGGAAAGTATCTTCCTGTCAGGCACCAAGAGTCCGTCCGTTAGACTGCAGCACAGAAGATTTATTCAAAAAAAAATCTTCATCATCAAAAAATAACAACATCAATGCTATCACAAGTTTGGGCAAGGAAATGTCTGCAAGAAAGCAAGAAAGTTCAGAAAGCACCAAGGACCCCATAGTCCTCCTCCTCCTCCTCTTCCTGCTCCTCCTCCTGCTGCTGCTGCTGCTCCTCCTCCCTACACACACACCACTTTCTTCTAGCACTGATGAAATTACCTAGATGGGTCATGAAATGTCTGCAAGAAAACAACCAAACTCAGAGAACATCAAGGACCCCACAGTTGTCCTCCACCTCCTCTTCCTGCTGCTCCTCCTCCTGCTGCTCCTCCTCCTCCTCCTCTCCACACATACCCCACTTTCTTCTAGCACTGATGATGTCACTTAGATGGCTCAAGAAACATCTGCAAGAAAGCAACAAAGCTCAGAGAACATCAAGGACCCCACGGTTGTCCTCTACCACCACCTCCTCCTCCTCCTGCTGCTCCTCCTCTCTACACACACACACCACTTTCTTCTAGCACTGATGGGTCATGAAATGTCTGCATTCTCCTCCTCTTCTTCCTCCTCCTCTCCACACCCCCCCCCCCACTTTCTTCTAGCACTGATGTCACTTAGTTGGCTCAAGAAACATCTGCAAGAAAGCAACAAAGCTCAGAGGACATCAAGGACCCTTCTTTTCAACCCTGCACTACAAATATTCTCCTTTATTGACAACTAAAGTTCAACAGTAAACAGACGCCGGTCAACAGAATTCAAGTTGGATTGGATTTGGACCGTTTGTGGGAATGTAACGACTCTACGCTGATGACATGCTTAACTCCCTCCCCAGCTCTGCCTGGTCTTCTTCTCCATTCATCAGCTTCGTGGCGAAATGGAAATGGAAAACTGGGTTCCTTCAGTGCTGTTTCAAACACCGTATTGTGTTGTCTCTCATCTTCTCCGCTGCTCAGCTCGTTGGCCCTCATCCTGAATCTTTCACCTGCAATATGTAGCTCTACCCTCCATTTCAGGCCTGCGGTTTCGTTATAACAATAATAAAGGGCAAGTGGTTGGAATGCCCAAATAATAAATGTAAAACATGAATATTAAAAGTGCGGAGGTTTGTGTGGATATTCTTATAAATAGATGATTCATAAGACCGAGTTAATATTTTGAGAGCGATGACGAGTTCTCTTCGTTCTTAATATAGTACTATCCACACGGACAATTTCTTTCTTTTTTTTAAATTAAATTTCCTGCAAGGGCATAACTCTCAATCTACAGTGAAATTCCACTTAAATGCACCGGCGGCTGGTGTATCAGTCATAATTAAAAGTCAGTCGCCAACGCCGTTTGTTCTCTTTCAAAATATCCTACACAAGAGTGACAATACGAACAGGGAAATGAATACAACGTTTATGTGAACAACTCAATCAATAGGAAGACAATTTCATCATTTACATCAACTTTACAGAAGGAACCCAGGCAGAATTCACAATTTGTTTAATGGGAATTTTAGTTTAGTGTCTTCATCTCAATTAAAGTGGCACTACACCTGTGGACATAACCAGAGGTGGTATTTAGCCAGTTTGGACCAGTTCTGGAGAACCGGTAGCAGAAATTTTGAGTAGTTTGGAGAACCGGCCAATACCACCTCTGAGTGGCCCCGCCCCCATCTATTCTCCATCTCCCATCGAGTCCCAGCTGATTGGCTTTGGTTGCCCTGCACAGGAGAACGGAGCTGGAAAGCAGGTTAGTGGGGTGGGGAGGGAATGGGGATTTTACAGTATCTTTCCACTGCCATGCCCACCAAGCCACACCACGCCCACAGAACCAATATTAAAATTTTTGGAATCCCACCACTGGGCATAACTTACTGAATTGATTATCTTACTCAAATCAAAGAACTATCAACTCAGTCAAACAGTAAACAACAGCCTAATTAAGGGACCAGCAAGATCGTTTCCACCAACAGTGACAGGGTAAGCTACAAGAATACAAACAGAGAGAAAGTCCTTACTCCCTTCTAGCGCTGATGTTGTTACCTAGTTGGGTAATGAAACGTCTGCAAGAAAGCAACCAAGCACAGTGAGCCCCCACAGTTCTTCTCCTTCTCTCTACACACCCCTCTCTCCTGATGATGTTGCTTAGTTGGGTCATGAAACATCTGCGAGAAAGCAACCAAGCTCAGAGAGCACCAAGGACCCCACAATTCTTTAGCTCTTCACTTAATATGAATCCTACTAGAGTAATGGACATTGACGAAACGAACATGAATTTGGGCAAAGTCTGGGAGACCTTGGAGAACAGGGGAGCTGGGCTACGGTCCATGGGGGCCACAAAGAGTCAGATACAACTTAGCAACTTGAATAACAAAACAAGAACAAGGGAATGGTAGAAGCTGCCATCAGAGCTAGACACGTTCTATCTCTGCCTCTTTGTCGTTTTTGCTCTCTTTGGTCAACCCTATGAGAGCCTGTTCCTTCTTCTCCTGTCCATTCCATGCACTGAATTTTAACGATCTGGTAGAACAGGATCAGAGGCCAAACACATGTCCAAGGTAGATCAAAGGAGCGTGGTCTCAGCCCTGCTTATCTACCGGGAGCTGCAGAGGAATTCACGCTGAGCACGGAATTTCCCCCAAATGGAAATGGCAGGCCTGAGAAGACTGGGAGGAAGAGAGAAGAACAGAAAATGAAAGTATTACTCACCCACACAGAGGATGTTGAAACAGAAGCCTTGGTTAACTGATTTGTTAACCAGCTGGTCAGGCAAGCTATCGAATCCGACATGGCCAGAAAGAGGAACGGTTCGGCAACCTTCACCCTAAGACGGTTACAAAAGGATGCATGTTAATATTAACTTGCAAAGGCTTAACTTTTGGGATAGGCTTTTAAATATAGTCCAAATTTGGGGGTTTGGGGTAGATGTTGGCTCCTTCTGTTGTGGTCTGCCAGCAGCCTGCAGAGACGGCAGCAGAGATGGACAGTGGGGAGGAACATGGGCCAGTCTGGGAATCTGGGAAGGACTCGGACGAGGGTCCTGCGTCCGATGCAGAGATGGGACCAGGGCCACCTGGGAGTTATGTGCTGACTCTGGAGCCTTCAGAATCTGACAGCGGCAAGGCAGAGGAACAAGAGGAGCCTGTTCTCAGTGCGCGCATGCACAGAGCTGCCGGAAGGCAAGAACAGTTAAGACAAAAGGGGCGACTCGGGAGGAAGGCTTGGAGGAGATTGGCCCTCCCATAAGACATAAAGGAGGAGCAAAGGGACAGGAGCCTTTGCAGGAAGCAGCTTTGTTTGCTCTGTTCAGATTAAACCTTGAAGCTCTGTGTTTAATTTGTGCTGCTGTTGGCCTGGTATAACTAATTGGAAATTTGGTCATTGGCAGCATTTCAAGGAAGATAAAGGTGGGTGCTTATCAGACTTATCCTGAAGGACTTTGGCAGACTTCCGTGGGACTATTTACAAACTGCTTGAGACGCATTACGGGCTGTGAATGACTGAAATTCACAGCCACTGAAATAAAGAAAAATGGCTTTTGGGACTAACATGTATTTGTTAGTGTCTCAATAAGCCTTGATCAGAACAACTTCCAAGCACATGTTGCTGGACTCTTTTACTCTTCCTAAATTACACATACAGGCTGAACATGTCCCTACTGGAATTATTTTATGCTCTGGCAGAAGAACAGAGTAGAAAATCTATGGGAAAGTTGCCTTGGGAGGCAGGAGCAGGAACCAGAGTTGAGAAACACACCACAAGTGCGATAGCATCACACCATTTAAAAACGAACCGACCTGGAGCAACATCTGGTAACTTTCTTGCCATGCTCAGTTGGCCAACGTCAGTAGGCTCCAAAACCTAACTTCCTCCTAGGAGCTGGAGGGAGAGAAGATTCCCAAGAACAGGAATTCTTATGGAGATACCGATCTTCAGCATAGGTGTGTCCACAGGGCATGGTCATAAATGATGCAATCAAAGCTCTGCCTGGTTTTTATGTGCATCGCCTTTTTTGCACATCAAAAGCCGTGCTTTCATCGTGCTGTCATGGCCGTCTTGAGGGGTTTTTTTAGACCATAAATGAGGGACCCCCTTGCAAGCACATCTTTCAACATTAGTTGTTAGTTGCATTAACAGAGGGATACAATCAAGATAAAGTGAGGTACTAATACCACTCAATAAAGCCTTAGTAAGACCACCCCTAGAGTACTGCATCCAGTTTTGGTCACCACACTCTAAAAAAGATGTGGAGACTCTAGAAAGAGTGCGGAGAAGAGCAACCAGGATGATGAGGGGGCTGGAGGCTAAAAGAAACGATGAACTGTTGCAGGAACTGGGCCTGGCTAGTCTAGGGAAGAGAAGGACCAGGGGAGACAGGAGAGCATCTTCCAATATTTGAGGGGCTGCCCCAGAGAGGAGGAAGGGGTCAAGCTATTCTCCAAGGCTCCTGTAGGCCAGACAAGGAATAATGGATGGAAACTGAACAAGGTGAGATTTACCCTGGAAATAAGGAGAAACTTTCTGACAGTGAGGGGCAACCCATGGAACAGGAGTTGCCCTCACTTGAGACTTTCAAGAAGAGATTTCTGCCATTTGTCAGAAATGGTGCAGGGTCTCCCGCTTGGGCAGGGGGTTGGACTAGATGACCTACAAGGTCCCTTCCAACTGTTAACAACTTCTATCCTTAGAAAAATCCATCCAACCATCAGGTTTCTGCCCATCAAACTGGACTGCAGGATTCAAAAGGGGTTTGCCATTTTATGGGTCAAAGTTGGGAGTTAGGATCAAGCCAGGCTAAAAGAGCAGCCTGACATTTTTTTTTTTCAATTCTGTGAAAGGATCATATCAGAAATGCGAACGAGCTAAGCCATTGGTAGCAAGGATACCCATTTCATTCCCTTACTGTGCTCTTTTGCATTCATAAATCACAAATGCGACGCAGCGGCTACGAACAAAACATTGCCTCAAGCATCAAAGAAAGAAAGGGGTGCGCTTCTTGCCATGGGAAAGTTTGATCAGCCCCCACCTCCCAAATTCTGTTGCCCTATGAAAGAGATTCACAATATAAGTGCGGAGTGTCAGGATTCCAGAGATCGCCCTAATTAAATCCTGAGCCTTGAGCCAAACTTAAAAAAAACTTCGAAGAATTCATTAGGAGCGACATACTGGCATGACCTGTATGAAGCCGATTCTGGCATACATAATTACAGTCATTTTGTCACCCTGCTTCCCTGCTCTCCCCTGGGTGTGCCATAAATCAGTTTCTCCAATTAAGCATTAGGTGTCATCCATCACGTTCTCCAATTAAAGTTTTTCTCAGGCAAAAAGCGCCAGTAGCTTAGTGACAATCTTTTTTAAGGTTGGAAAGTGCTTACTTCTAAGTTCATTTCTCCAGTCCTTCCTCACCCCTCCCCTCTTTTTTTTTTCTTTTTATAGTAATTTTATGAAAGATTATTTTTACAACTGTAAATACTAACCACTAAAAAAAGATAGAATAAAAAGAGTAGAATAAAAGATGAGTCGTGTAAATGTATCAGAAATATAGACATCTTGTTTACACTGCTTTCTTTATCATCGCTCTATAACACTTCTGAGGTTGTATAACCAATAATATTCAGCCTTCTTTCATATGTTTTTGAAAAGGGACCCAATAATCCCTGTAATTGTGCAATGTGCGTGCTAATAAAAGGTATTTTTCTGCATCTACCTCTATACATTTTGGCCCATATTTAAATGGCATTTTCTCTTTTCCTGTTTTTTTTTTAATATTGTATATTGATTTTTCCATGTTTTGTTTGGGAGGTAACGAAGGCCCACCCCTTCTTTCTTATGCCAACTTGGAAACAAATGTAGGAATGTTTTACAAGTTGACATGGAGGTTGCTGCTAGGTTAAAACTGGTGCACAGGAAATTCAGAATGAATCAGCACTGTTTTTTGAAACTTGGCAAGATTTTTTTTTTAAATGGGTGGACTTTAACTCCCAGAATTCTCCAGCCAGCCACCTGGAGAATTCTGGGAACTGAAGTCCACCTATCTTTAGTCACCAAAGTTGAGCAACCTTGCTTTAGAGTAGTGGATCTCCCAATGACCAATGTCTAAATCCTTCCCTTTCTGTCTTGCCAAAAGTTCATCATTCAATTCTGCAGGGAAAACCAAACCAAAACAAAACCAAAACAACAACAAAAAGAACAGCAGCAGTAATGAAGTAACTGATAGGAAAAAAAAGAAAGAAAGAAAGACCTGGTATGGTTTTCCCTGCTAGCCAGGAACCTGGCTGTAAAGTGCATTTACTGGAAAATATATATCCAATTATAGCAGTCCAATTGCAAAGGTTCCTGCTGCGGTAATTAGCCCCTCTCTACATTTTCAATCTTCAGAGGACCGCCAAATAAACTGGGTTTTTGTCCGCGCACAGAAAACGCAGCTGATTCCAAAATCACCCCTTGAAGAGTGAAAAAGCAAAGGGTTCGTTTTAAGCGGTGCACCCAAAAATGTTGAGGTTTTTTTTCTTCTTCAGTGAATGCTTCACCTGTTAGTAACTTCTAAGTAAGGGGATCCTGTCTCTCAACCGTCCCCAAACCTGAAACCTCACAAACACGTTGGTTTTGCAACCTCCACCGTATCTGTGCAGACTAGGAAATTTGGGGTGGGGTGGGGGTATTAACATCCACACATTTGGCGAGGGGCAGGTGAGGAATGAGGGGAAGCTGCTGAAGCTTGCAGAGATGAGTAGAGCAAGCATGACACTCGCTTCCTCTGAGTGAGGTTTCCTGTTTGCGTGTGGTTGCTGCTACCTCCGTTCAAAAATACAGTGCTTGCCGTAAAAATCTAAAATTCAGTGAATAGAGAAAAATCGAGTTTTCCTCATCCAAATTCTTAGAGGCCCTTGCAAGAAAGAACTGAGGTTCATGGGAAGAGTAAAGAACAATATAGACATTAATAATTGCAACAATAATAAAAAGCAGAGACACCACCCTACCAACAAAAATGCGTAGAATCAAGGCTGTGGTTTTCCCAGTTGCAATGTAAGGCTGTGAAAGTTGGACCATAAGGAAGGCTGAGCGCCAAAGAATGGAGGCCTTTGAACTCTGGTGCTGGAGAAGATTCCTGCGAATCCCTTGGACTGCAAGGCCATCCAACCGTGTTGTTTGCAATGCAAGTGACACAAGCCTTGTGTTCCCCGCACAGCCAGGATTAATTGCTTTGGGGGCGACATTTCTCTGTGGACAACCAACATTTTCTCATGGACCACCAGTGGTCCCTGGCCCACTGGTTGGCGAACCCTGGACTAGAAGATCTCTGATGTCCTTTCCAACTCTTTGATTCTAAGACACAGCAAAGGTCCAGCCATTGCAAAGACAATCTGATTTTGTTTCCATAATTTAAAGCTACAACTGAGTCACCTTCTGCTTTGGCAATTTTCCTCAGCAGGCTTCAGCCTGGAAAAGAGCCATAATTCACAAGAACATGTGCTTTGCCCCAGACAGTTTCCACGGATATCATAAAATTTAGTTACGGTCCCAGGATGTATTTACTGTCATTATTTAGTGAGACAACTCAAAGAACTGAAAACATAACTGTTCAATTTATGATGTCTGCTGCAACATTGGCCATTGTGCAATATTGGAAAAATTAAGAGTCTCCATCACTAAGTCTGTGATGAGATTGTTGCTATGGGAGAGTTGATGTATAAAACATGAGATGGTTACATGAGATGGTAATCTTTTTTGCAAAAACATATTAAATCAAATTCTCCTTCTCATTTACCCCAGTATATTGTTGAAATCTTGACCTATTTTGGGATCTTTGTAATAGGCTGGTTA